TAATCCATTTACTGCCGGCAACCAGGATGCCTCTAGCTACTCTTGACCCCTGAGCTGGATGGGTCACCTTCTCCGGTGTCACCATCTGTGAGAAGAGTCCTCAAGTGGTGTCCAGTCTCTCCCTCATACGGCCCCCAAGAGGACTGAGTGATGGTAGCTGAGTCAGAGTCACCTGGACGGCAGGTCAGAACACTGGACTCTGCCTAGAGTTTCTGTGAAGCAGTTTTTGAAGGCAATGTCCACTGTACAGCTCCACATCACTGCCCAATGGGGGGATTTTTCTTTCAAAGTTTAGTCTTATGAAAAGCTTGCCATTATGAACGTGTGGGCTCAGGTGTGGGGGGACTCAAATATGTGGGGGGCTCAGGTGTGGGTAGCTCAGGTATGAAAGGTCTCAGGTATGGGTAGCTCAGGTGTGAGGAGGCTCAGGTGTGGGTTGCTCAGGTATTCAGGTATGGGTAGCTCAGGTGTGAAGGGGCTCAGGTATGGATAGCTCAGTTATGGGTGGCTCAGGGGTGAGGTGGCTCAGGTATGGGTGACTCAAGGGTGAGGGGGCCCAGGTGTGAGGGGGCTCAGGTGTGAGGGGGCTCAGGTGTGAAGGGTCTCAGGTATGGGTAGCTCAGGTGTGAAGGGGCTCAGGTATGGATAGCTCAGTTATGGGTGGCTCAAGGGTGAGGGGGCTCAGGTGTGAGGGGGCTCAGGTATGAAGGGTCTCAGGTATGGGCGGCTTAGATGTGAGGGGGCTAAGGTGTGGGTAGCTCAGGTATGGATGGCTCAGGTGTGAGGGAGCTTGTGAGGGGGCCCCGGGGTGACAGGGGTCAGGCATGTGTGGAGCCCCCTTTTTTGAAGGAAATTAAGAACCTCTTGGTCATCAGAAGCTCTATCACCTCAGCTCTCAGTGGCCACTGTAACACTCAACATCCCACGTTCACTGTCCCATGTTCAAGCCTCTGTCCTGGCTGTCAGGACTCCGCAGCCCGTGGATCTCCCCTCCCATCACAGCTTCTGTCTCCTCTGCCCTTTCTTCCTCCTCCCACTGGCACTTTTCCTGTTTTCTTTTCCTTCCTGACAGGGCACACGTAGCCCATGGCCCAGCAACTTTGGCACAACCCAGAGGCTTGTTGGAAATGCTGACCTCAGGCCCCAGCCCAAACTGAGCCAGAATCTGCATTTTAGCCCAAACCCAGGTGATTTTGACCTACCTTAGGTGTTAAGGACTTCTCTAGAATGAAATGGTTCTCAGATCCCTCCCCTAGTCCCCAGGCCTCGAGCTTCAACAAGCCTTTCCAAAAGCCAATGATGCTACATCGCCACGTGGACGATGCCCAATCAGCTCCAAGGGCCACGAGCCCAGCTCCCTCACTGCTCTCCCCTCCCCTTCCTCAGCCCTGCTCCCTGCCCCAGCTGCAAACCCAGGCTTCTTACTTTCCTGCCTTTGTTAATAGCACCAGAGGGCACCCAGGGGTCACAATGCCACACACAGATGGCACCAGGCAGGTGTTATAAAGGCAGGTAGAGGGCTGGGTGGGGGCTGGGTGAGCTGGAACCGCCGGCTTGGTCTAAGAAGTGAGCCACTAAACACTGTCATTTGTAAATACGGTTTCAATGTTGCCAAACTGAATTTTTATGTGAAGTTTCTGGATCTTATTGTGGCAACAAATTCAATTTTTTTTGTTAAACTATGAGAGCCAAAGCAAACCCGTCACAGACTGCACGTGGCCTGTGCCCCAAACCAAGTTATCTTTGGCTTTCTCCTCCCTCCACCTTTGTTCCTCCAACCGCTGCCAAGACTTAGTTCACCTGCTCACTAAGGCCCAGGCTCTCGTTCTTCCGCCGACTGACTGCATCAGAGAAGGTACATAAGTTCTGGTATTCCTCCATCTTTTTTGTAGTAACATCTACCCAATAATTGCCAAATTACTTTAAAATATTGCTTCAAAACCTTTTAGAAACGCCCTGGACTCCAGCTGTCAAACCCCCATTGTCACAAATGGTATTTCCTTCCCCTCACTCCTTCCCTAGTCCTGCTGTTGACCAGAGTTCTCAGGCTTAAAGAAGGCTCGTGGTGGTTCTGGAGATGGAAAGAAATGGATAAAGCTGAGAGGCACTGAAAGTCGGCAGCACAGCACAGCTGCCCGTGAGACTTCGGCACAGGACGAGCGAATTACCGCCTGCCTTCTTCCTATCAGGCCAGGGTGACGGAGCAGAAGGCCAGGGTGACAGATCACCTCGTTCATTTGAGTTTGCAAACTGGCAACCTAGGGGTCAAATTCGTTGTACAAATCTTCTGTTTAACATGCATTGCTTAAAAAAAAATGCACAGTCTAAAAATAGTAATTGCACATAAACACCACGATTCTTGTTTAAAAAAAAAAGTTAGTGACATATTCAGATCCAGACTTCTACGTGGCAACTGCTGGCTGCAATGGACACCTTTCCTCTTCGGATGCAGGACACGCCTTTGCCAGTCTTCCCCTTCCTAAGGACGCTGCTATCAGTGAAAATAAAAGGTTATGGGCAATTTAGAAATGAGTTTAAAATGGAAATCAAGTATTTCTGATGCCCTAAAGTTTCACAAGAAACAAGTTAGCAACATTGCACCCCCCATCCCATTCCCAATCATGGTCAGTATTTGGTTTTTGTATTAGGTTTCCTTGGTAATATGCAGGACAAACTTTAAAGCCCCAGACAGTTGCATAATTTGGTTTCTCAGCAAAAGCCCAGATAAGATGTCATTGCTGGCTCGGCGCCTGAGGCTCAAGTGGCTAGGGCACCAGCCACATACACCTAAGGTGGAGGGTTCGAATCCAGCCCAGGCCCACAAAACAATAATGATGGTTGCAACCAAAAAACCGCCGTGCGTTGTGGCGGGCGCCTGTGGTCCCAGCTACTTGGGAGGCGGAGGCAGGAGACTCGCTTGAGCCCAGGAGTTGGAGGTTGCTGTGAGCTATGCCACAGCACTCTACCCAGGGGGACAGCTTGAGGCTCTGTCTCAAAAAAAAAAAAAAAAAAGATTTCATTGCTAAAATGTCTCTAGAAAATCACCCCCTCACACTAGATCCTCCACTGGCCATTCCCATCTGTTTTCCACCACACCTCTGACCTTGCAAAAGGACTCTTACAGACCACCTCTGGACTCTGACTGCGTTCGGCCAATGGGGGGACCAAGATGGAGGGAGAGAGAATGAGGTCAGGGTGCTTAGCGCCCCGGCTCTACCCAGGGAGAATGCAGGTGGGTCACTTCCTCCTCAGATGAAGGGAGCCCTTCCCTGGATTCCAAAGTGAAAAGAACGATTGTTTCCCCTCCTGGCCTTTGAGGGTACAAACAGCTCCTAACACCTACCCTACACCGCTGTACTATTGGCTAAAGAATTATTCTAATTTTAGTTCCTGCTGCAACATGACTGAATTACCTCCTTAATCTCACTCCTCTAACTGAACACTAACCCAGTGCACCAAAAACAAAACAAAACAAAACTCTTTGTTAAGAGTCATTGTCTAGAATTTGAGTATCACTATTTGGGAAGATTTTATACAAATTTAAAATTTTGCCCTTATATCATTAAGAATTTTAGAAATCACATATTCATCTATCTTTAAACTTCAATTAATGTCTTTATAAACTTAGCTAAAAAAGTATTTAATCTTGAAAATTAAAATGTTTTCTCTAAAATTACATGTATTTAATCCTAACCATATTTAATGATGAGCCTTCCATTGGTATTTCGGCACATTAGTGCCATCTGCTGGAAAGTTAATACAATCACATCTTCTAAATCCCAAAATGTATGTTTGGGAGTGAGTACAGGGGTAAGAAATAAGCCTTCCTTTTAAATACCTAGCTGCTCCCCTTCCACATCCTTATCAACATAAAGCCTGATTAATTACTAAGTACCCGTGCGTCTGACCTTTCTTCTCTGCTGCGCCCTGGAAGAAGAGCTGTCTTGGGCCACACATTAAAACAAAACAGTCCTCACATAATCAGGCTGCAGGTGGGACACCCTTGCGTCAAGTCTAAAACTTGTAATTTTAAAAAGCCCTAAACATTTCTTTCCATACATCTCTGGATTTCTAAAATGTTCTCCTGTGGTTCTGTTCCATGTGTGTACAAAGCTTGAAATGTCTCAACATGTCTGAACACTAGTTGCTTTACCTAAGTCTCTGATAGTGACATATGTGTAAAAGATACGACATACTGTGTGCTGATAGTTCATAACCGCAGTCCCCAACCTCTGGGCTGCAGACTGGCTGGTACCAGTTCATGGCCTGTTAGGAACTGGGCCACACGGCAGGTGAGAAGGTGAAGCGTCATCTGTATTTACAGCTGCTCCTCATCCCTTGGATCTCTGCCTGAGCTCCACCTCCCGTCACATCAGTGGCAGCATTAGATCATCACAGGGGCATGAACCCTACTGCAAACCACCCACATGAGGGGTGGAGGATGTGGCTCCTTGAGAGAATCTAAGCCTGATGATCTGAGGGGGAGATGTAATCCTGAAACCATCCCCCACCATCTGTGGAAAACCTGTCTTCTGTGAAACCAGTCCCTCGTGCCAAAAAGGCTGGAGATGGCTGGTCCAAACATACACTTCAGTAAAATACATACACCTGTTTTTCAGTCTATAACAAAGTTTTAGCTGTGAAACAGCCAGAGGCAGGACTGCCTGCCTTTCCGCAGGGCTTCCCCATCACTGGACAGCAGTTAACACCAGGAACAGAAATGTGACACAACTGTTACATCTTCTGACATACGAAAACTGCAGCCAATATTCTAAAGAATATGGAAACATAAAAGATTGCTCAACTGATTTTAATAACATGACATAAAGCCCCTAGACTTGACATAATCATTATGCAAAATACACAGATGAATACTGTCTTCTTTTAAAAATATAAAATAAATAAGCAAGACGTGAAAATAGGCAAGTTTCCATTAAATAAATGAAAAGTTTAAAAAAAAGAAAGTTTTCCTTTCCATGTCATTTGAAGAAGGGAAATTATCATTTTAAACAATATTCAAGTTTATTAAACAAATTAACAAATTAGAAAAAAGTATTATAAAATGTTTAACTTTCATCAGCTTCAAGGTTTATATTGCTCCCAAATTTTGCATATAACTGAACTTTCAAATCTGCTAACACCCGCTGAATTGATTCCACTCTGGATTCTAAGGCATCAATTTCTTCTTGCAAATTTTTCTAGAAAAAAAAATAGTTTAAATTAATTCTAGTCAATTGGATGGTTTCTGAGCATCTGTATCTGAAATAATATTTGGGAAGAATTTTAGGTCAAGAACTTTCTGAACTTGGATAGGCAGCTAAATAACACTGCTAATTAGATCTCAATCAAAAAGCTGAATGTGGGCATTTTTAATTGATGGCCTATATTTACTTATCACAGAATAAATCAAGTTTGTTTTCTCAGTTTCTGCTGACCTGAAAATATAACAGCTAAGAGAAAGTTAATTTCTAAATTACCATATCCTAATAAAAAAAGAACCAAATACAAAGACTTCAATCAACAGTTTACCACGAGCCTGCCTGGCTTCTAACAGTTTCTTCCAACTTTCCACAAAATAGATAAGAACCTAGAGGAAATGATAAAAACTCGCACCACCACCGATGATTAAGAATAACTAGGGTCCAAGTCTGGCAGGTATTTTCACCACCTTTGAAGTCTCTGGAGCTATCCTTTGGAAGAGAGCAGGGCTGAGTAACCCCCCCTTATAAGACAGAGACGTTTTGCCCAATGAAATGTCAGGTCTTTAAGTATCGGAGGTGACTGATACATTAACTATTTTGACTTAATTATTCCATATTGCAGTCCTAAATTATAACATCACTTTTTCATCCCATAAATTTACACAATTATAAATTGTCAATTTATAATTTTAAAAAATTATGTAATTCCCAAGAACATTTCTTTCTACCTACCTATCTATAGATACATACTTAGCCTCTCCAATTCTGAAACCAGCATCCTAATGCTTTCCTCATTAATAAATTAAATAAAAAATTTTAATATATATGTTTTATTTAAAAAAAGTCAGAAGTTCTTGCTAGCTAGGATCAAAACAAGGAGTTTTTTCTTATGACTAAGAAAATATGAAATCATACAAATGGCACACCTACTAACATTACAAACTAAAGAATACCCGGTATTAGCAACATCATTCTTTTAGAGACCTGGCCAGGGGTTCTCAAAGTGTGGCTCCCAGACTAGTATCTGGCAAAATCACCAGGGGACCTGTGACAACAATGACCCTGGGGCACCATACCAGGCCTTCAGAATTAGAAATTCTCTGTAATTTTAACAAGGCTTGTGGGTGCTTCTGATTTTGATAGATGCCAAAAATTTGAGAATGGCTGTTATAAAACAGAAAAGAGAAATAGATAACAAAAAGGAAATAAATTTCTATGCCTAGAAAACCTAATAAGTAAAATAAAATACTAGAAAATTATTTTTAAATCACAAATCTAATCATCTCACTTTTTTCTTAAAAGCCCTGAAATGCTATTCTTTGCTCTAGAAGTGGGCAAACCATATGGCCCAGGGTTCAGGCCCTGTAGCCTGTTATGTTGGAAAGAGCCCATGCAAATTCACTCCCACATCTTGCTTTCAAGGTAATTGCGGTAGAGAAATGTGGTCCACAAAACCTAACATATTTATCTTCTGGCCTTTCACAGAAAGTTTTCTGACCCTTGCTAAGCACAATTCATTTAACTCAGTTAACAGGGATCTGCCACATCTGGCCACAATTTTAGATACTCCCAGATCTCCAGCAAAGAAAACTTTCCACCATGATGGTTCTCTGACCATTCATAGTGCTGCTTCCAACCAGAACAGCTGCACCTCCCCTCTGGGTGATACCTATTTAATCTTCACGTGTCCCAGCACTTTCTGAAGGAGTCAGTCCCTGACCCTTGATGCCCTGACGAGTAGAGACTCCCCTGCCATATGTTCTTAAAGCACCTCTATTCCCCATATCACCTCCCACTCATCCATTTGATGTGTTTAATTTTCTTTCTCTCCACCTAGACTATACACCCCATGCAGGCAGGTACAAGGCCTGTCTATCAACATAAGAAAGGAAGACACAGGATGTTTCTGCATGAAGACCAAGGAGTCTTCCCAAGGTTTACTAACTATTTAACTCATGGGAAGTTTTGCTTCTATGACCTTTCAAGAAGAGAGGGCAGTCATATTAAGTAATATTTAAGTTAAATACGCAAAAGTATTAAGCAACATTAAAGTGCCATCATAAACAATGTGACTGCCCTGCTCACATACAGTTGGAGGACAGGTGAACTGCACAGGAATTCTAGACCATGTATCACAATGTCTCAAATACTGCCAACCACTACATACTCTCACGGGCAGTTACACTTCTCCCACTATGTCCTTAAAACAATCTTCTAGGCTCTGCGCCTATAGCTCAACCGGCTGAGGCGCCAGCCACGTACACCTAAGGTGGCAGGTTCGAATCCCCAGCCCGGACCGCCAAACAACAATGACGGCTGCAACCAAAAAAAAAATAGCCGGGCGTTGTGGCGGGCGCCTGTAGTCCCAGCTACTTGGGAGGCAGAGGCAGGAGACTCGCTTGAGCCCAGGAGTTGGAGGTTGCTGTGAGCTGTAATGCCATGACACTCTACCCAGGGGGACAGCTTGAAGCTCTGTCTCAAAAAAAAAAAAAAACAAAAAAAAAAACAATCTTCTAAATGTGAACAAAGACTTATGTGTAAGAATGCTCACTGCAACATTTTACTCTCCCAAAATCCTGGAAACAGATATTAACAATAGGAGCACAGCTGGCCAAATCCAAGCCCATCACCAGCATATAAAACAGTTGTAAAAAATGGTTTTTTAGAGCAGGTTCCCAGTGAGCGTCTGCTGGACAAATACACAGGAAACAGAACAAGAAAAGACTCCTAGTAGAACCTTAATTACCAAAGTGTAGAGCAAACCTACACATGGGGCGGGGGGAGAACAGAAAAGAAAAACGTGAAACGTTCATCATGAACAGTTATCTCTGCGTAGGGAGATTACAGGGGACTCTTCTTTTCTGCTTTAAAATACTCTAAATACTTTTAGTCTAGAGCAAGGTTCTGAAGACAGGAGCCCACAATCTATATTTATATGTCACTTTGAATAAATCCTGTAATCTCTTTAAGCCTCTATTCTTCATCTCCAAATAGGAAATAACAACAGATCACTGTTAGGATTGAATACAATCCTGCTGGCAAAGCACTGGGAGCTTGCCTGGGACAACACAGCAAACCATTAAATGGGAGCTGGCAGCCAGGAGTTTCCTACATCTATTATTACGCGTTCTTTCTGCTGATTCAAATTCTAATTTAAGAATTAAACTTCAACATACCTTCGCTTCTTCTAACATTTCTTGTGTTTCTTCTTGAGAATGGCTAATGAAAACATCGCCAATTTGATAAGGTATCATTAAACAGTCCTCGTCTGCAAGCATGATGTCATCGCAAGCATCTTCTAAATTTTGGAGCTGTTTCTATAAATAAGAAAGTAAACAGCAATGAAAAGGTATTCGAAATTCTCCAACAGAACTTAAAGCCAACTTTAAATTTGGCAACACCAACTCTGCAAGGGCTCCTTTCACAAAGGTAGTATTACAGTAAAAGAAGACTTTGATTTCTTACATTTTTAGATGACGTTTCATAAGGAAGCCCTTAAAAGCTAACCCGTTGTCCTCTGTGTATTTTCAGATTGATGTAAGTACCCTATAACAGACAGCAGATATCCAAATTTCTTCTATTTTAACAATTTTCCACTTTGTGAATTCTGTCTTCCTACAAAAACAAAGCCAAACCCCAGCCTCCAGTTCACAGCCTTGCTGGAGGACAGAGCCTAAGTAACTCGTGCTGGCGTGGCAGAGCAGAACGCCGCTCAGCATGCCAACAGAGCCTAAGTCATAACTTCAATTCCACCAATGAGATGCACTTGAACTGGACTTCAACTCGGGAGAGTTGCGTGAGAAAAAAGGCTGGGCACAAGGCCTCAGATTTACAGATGCCAGCAGCTCAGTGTCCCTTGGGCCGTGGGGGCAGCTTCCTCCTTGTGGAGCCAACAGCAGTTCCACTGCTAGCTGAGTTCTCTAAGAAGTGTGGTTCTGGGACTTGTTCCTCAAACCTCAGCCTAGACCCAATCACTTGTTAACTGAATTCAGTTTTAAGCAGCTATAACCTAAAGCACTTTGTTTCTTAAACAAGAGGCCACGAATACCTTTTTGACTTCTATTTCTTCCTTCAGCTCTGTGATTCTACTCGTATTCCGTGCAAATTTGTTTATCTTTTGTTGATCTTCGAAAGTAACGTTGACATCTTCTGCAGCCTGAAAAAAGGGTTTTTTGGTAGAATTTTAATGAGGAACTTACAGCTTAGCTTTTTATGTTGCTCTAAAACAGTGGTTCTCAGCCTTCCTAACGCCGTGACCCTTTAATACAGTTCCTGTGGGTTCTGACCCACAGGTTGAGAAGCACTGTGCTAAAACAATAAACTGTTTGTCTTGTTGGAGTCGAGAATTACAAGAGGTGTACGGAACATAAACAAATGCCTTACTTTTTGCTCCACAAGGTTAAGATCTGTTCCTAAGGTGATAACCTTTTCTAATATTCTCCAGAACTCCTAAGCTACAAAAACATTTCAAATATCAATAATGATTAATAAATTCTAAAAAAGGATGGAAAAAAGGGAGCCAACTTTTGGCTGAGAGAAGAATTTCTCAAGTTACAACATTCTTTCGCCAAGATAACCCAGGGAACAAAAAGTTATGTGGCCAAATAATGTTTAATGTTGGTAAATGACACATAGTAGTCTTTTTTTCTTAGGATCAAAGTTGCATGAACTTATTGTGGTGATCAGGAATCTGACAGCATGTGCAGTTTTTAATCCAACAGATATGCTGACTAGGGGTCACTATGCATGAGAGTGGCTACACTCTATTCATGGTAAAAACTGTACTCCTTAATCAGGAAGGTCTAATCTGCTACAAAATGATGAAAATTGAATGCACAACATGATTAAATTTACAAAATTGAAAATAATGTTAAGAGCGCTTATGAAATAATAAAGGAAGAGCTGAACTGGGTGAGAGTTTACCACGTGCCCAGAACTTTCTAAGCGCTTTACCATCTCTTACCCTATGATCGCTGCTGGTAAGCAGGTTCGCCAGGGCCACTACTTACAGACGAAGAACTGGGGCACAGACAGTTTACACTTGCCCAGCGCCCCAAGCCAGTAAGCGCTGGGACCCGATTTCAACCCAGGCAGTTAGGTTCCAGAGACCACAGACGATCCATGAGTTCTCAGAAGCTGAATGCAAGTCTGTCTACATGGGACTGTGTGTCTCTGTGTGTGCGCAGGTACACGCATTTTGAAGATGGAAGAAATCTGCATTTGTATATTTTAAAAATGTAAATACCAAGCCCTCACTAAAACTTCCCCTCATTTTTTTTTTTTTTTTGAGATATCTATGTCACCTTCGGTAGAGTGCGTGGCGTCATAGCTCACAGCAACCTTTTGGGCTTAAGTGATTCTCTTGCCTCAGCCTCCCAAGTAGCTGGGGCTACAGGCACCCTCCACAACACCCGGTTATTTTTTGGTTGTGGTTGTAATTGCTGTTTGGCAGGTCCAGGCTGGGTTTGAACCCGCCAGTCCCAGTGCATGTGGCCGATGCCTTAACCACTGAGCTACAGGCACAAGCCGGCTTCCCCTCATTTGTAAGCTAGGACAAGAATACTTGAAACAGTTTAAAGGAGCAAAGGTGTATGTATATAAAAGTAGTCCTGGCTGGGCGTCCATAGCTCAGTGGTTAGGGCACTGGCCATGTACACCAGGGCTGGTGGGTTCGAACCTGGCCTGGGCCTGCTAAACAAACAAACAACAACAAATAGCCGGGCACTGTGGTGGGCTACTGTAGTCCCACCTACTAGGGAGGCTGAGGCAAGAATATCACTTGAGCCAAGAGTTTGAGGCTACTGTGAGCTGTGACGCCAGGCACTCTACCAAGGGCAAACATAGTGAGACTATCTCAAAATAAAGAAAGAAAGAAAGTAGTGCTTATTGGGGGAGTATTTTTAGCTCTTCTGCAATAATAGTAATGGGTTTGCAATACCACACTCCAGCCTGTACCTGGTCTCCTGTGACCAATGACATAAGCTACGTGGCCTTTCATTTCTCAGAGGTGGAAAGGCGACTTTCGGTGTCAAGCAATAAAGAGCTCAGTTTAGACTATGGGGGCAGACACCGAGAATGCGGCCCCGCGCTGCGCCAGGCTCTCATCCCAATGAACAATTTCACTCACATTGCGTCCATCCTCCAAGACCGAGAGGACAGTTCGGAAAAATCCCTTTCTGTCATGCTAGGTACAGGTTTCAGTATTTAGCCCTGAGCATAATTTTTATGACCATGAAAGTTAGCAAACACTGAGCTACACTAAAGAAAAATAAAACAAAAAATGAAAGTCTATACACAGATAATCTTGGCCTTCAAGTCACTCTGCCCACTGTGAGAGCTATCAATTCCCTAAGGAGAGACAAGAGAATTCTAAAGCGTTCCTCCTTGGCCGAAGCGCTTATGCCATTTTATTTAAATGCCAAGCCCCTCTTCCCCCTCATAGGTATTTATAGCCTGACTGTCCCAGTGAGGGTTTGGCAGGGTGGCTCACGTGGCAGCACCTGCCTCACACATACCTGAGGGCTTCTGAATTTCAATCAGACTCAAATTGAGTTTCTGAAAAGTGGCAGAGAGAATTTAGCTGCGTGCTTCCTATCTTTCCAAAGCAGGCATTTCCTGTTGCAGCCACCGGCACACTCATCCCGGGTGCCCAGTTCCTTCCAGTGGTTTCCACAGGGGGTGAAGGGCAAACGTTGGTGAATCAAATGTGAGCTGGCTGCTCAGAGCGGAAAGCACACCAGCACCTGCCATGACCGACCACAGCGGCCTGTTTTACTCTCACTGTTCTGGAACCCTCCCTGTATTTCTTGAAGCTGCATTTTGGCAAGGAAGGAGTAATTCTTAACTGGAATCACTGGACCTTTGGAGGTTGATTTACTGGGAGACTGTATGTAAAATGGTATGTGCAGTACACACAGTCTTCTGGAAGGGTCTTTGTAGCTTTCATCAGATTCCCTCAAAGGGATCCATAACCCTAAAAGGTTAAAAGCAGCTGGGTAGAGTTTAACCACCGCTCACAAAGTCACAAGAGTGCACAGAGTGGTGCAGGGACAGAATGGATTCCAATCCAAACCACCAAGAACCTGGGCAAATTACTCAATTCTCTGGAACCACCTCAGGTTTATGAACTGTAGAGAAGCCAGTTCCTACCTTACCTGGTGATAAAAACAAGTACCAAGGCCGGGCACAGTGGCTCACACCGGTAATCCCAGCACTCCGGGAGGCCGAGGCTGGTGGATCACCTGGGATCAGGAGTTCTAGCCCAGCCTCAGCAAAGTGAGACCCCATCTCTACTAAAAATAGAAAAACTAGCTGGGTGCTGTGTGGGCACCTATAGTCCCAGCTACTCGGAAGGCTGAGGTAAGAGGATTGCTTAAGCCAAGGAATTTGAGGTTGCTGTGAGCTATGAGCTGGGTCCAGAGCTGGGTCCACAGCACTCTACCCAGGGGTATAGAGTGAGAGTCTGTTTCAAAAAAAAAAAAAAGAAAAGAAAGAAAAGAAAAACAAGTACCCAGCATAAGGCCTGAGGAGGGAATCACCTTTCAGTAAGTGCGAGCTAAGCACTCTATTTCCTGAATATTGTTACCGAAAATCATTACCAAGGGAGAAGACACCCACCAGATCTAGAAGGAAATTCTACTCAGCCTGACAGAAATAAGATTGCTTAAGATTTAAAGTGAAAATTAAAATTCCCTGGGCTCTGACTGTACCTTTTCTTGAGAACTCAAATCAGATGGGATTATAGGAGGAAAATGAACCCTATTCACTCACACCCCCACTGAGTTTGGGCACTACCCACAGACTCGGCAGGGACAGCAGGGTCCCCAGAAGAAAATTCTGGCCAATTTCAATCTGCTTGTATTTTTATCTTTAAAAGATATCCACCTAGTCTCTAGGATATAAAATTTAACTTGTATTTTTATTCACCTTTCGTGCATACGGTCACTCAGTCATCAACTACGTGGTGCCTCCCAGGTGCCGGGCGCTTTGACAAGAGAGCTGCAGCCCCACCCTCAGCAACACCAGCAAACTTAGGTTCCGGTGGAGGGGGAGGCACGAAACAAGATGAGCAAGAGAGACGCGAAATGGTGATAAACGTGATGGTGAAAATAAGATCGTTTGGGGGTTGAACATTTTGGAGACTGGGGAATAAAGAAACCTTCTTTAGACAGAAAGGTCAAAGATAGCTTCTCTGCGGAAAGGACGTTTGGACTTAGGATAACAAACAGAAATCAAACAGAGTGCAGACCCCCTTATGGCCAAGGACAGGTCTCAGAGAGCCGGACTTCAAAGATGAGAGGACGGATTCTTCTCCTCTAAACCACCCAGCAAAGGCCTGGGTAGGAAGGTATGTGTTACAACTGCGAAGTACTCGAGATTGTAAACAATTTACCTTCATCAAATTCCAAGGGCTGCCTGTTATAGTTCATCCCAGTGAGGGCACAAGGTAAAGTATACATGAAAGCTAACCTGTCAGGAACTGCTCATAACACTGGGAACATCTGCAAGAGGTCACTCCAAGTATCATGCAAGTCTTAGCGGTTCCTAAGCTAAAGAAAAAGATCCTTTATGTTCTGGCTACCACCTACCCCTCTACATATTTTTTCCCCATCACGGTTCAACCTCTCCTCCCCTAATTATCTGCCACCTGGCCTTCCTTCCATTAAAAGTACTCAGGAGTTTCTGCACAAGATGCTCCCACTCTCCGAGGCCTCACTCAACTTCCCTGTCCCCTCCTTACAGAATCTCGCAGATCTCAATGTAAATGGCACCTCAGGAAAGCTTTCTCAAAGTAGACCTCAATCTAGCTCTCATTTCACAAGGAAACTTTAGTTTTCTGTGTGACTATTGACTAAATGCTTGCCTCTCTCCCAAAATGTAAGTTCTGTGACTCCATGAGAATAAGGAGGTAAAACTTCATTATTGGTCACCGCTGTTACTGTCACTTAAAAACTAAGCCTGTGCCTATCACATGTGCAAAACGAATTTACTGAATGAATGAAAGGAGGAAAAAAGGTTGGTAATTAGAAATTTTGCAACTGAAGTCCAGGATTCAAATCTTCCCACCATTTCTTCAACATTCACTGCACCTCTCTGCACTTCCATTTCCATTCTGTAAAATGGGAGGGAACCACAACTCACACCATCCATAGAACCAAAGGCCACACTAACAACAGAGAACCCAACCTAACAAAATAGAGGGGAAAAGACTCACAAAGGTTCGTACTCACTGAATCACCATGGCCCTGGACCCTACTCTGATACTCAGTAAGAATTTGTGGGTGACAAGTTAATAGGCTGAGCAATTTATCCTGAGTTGACTGGGGCTTTCCAATTTTAGCATTCCCTCAATCTCACACATACCAGAACCGGCAGGTCACCCTACTCCTACTCTGTGACCATGTGGTACTGAACAGGAGGTGAGCAAAGCAAGTTCCCACGTGCTGTCAGAAGTGGAATGACAGGAAACGTGCACAAAACTCGGAATGCAAATTCCTCAGCCAGGAGATTCTCAATAAGAGAAGCCCTCGACCTAAAAAGCTTAAGCTTCTGTGTTTCAGTTTTCTCACCTGTTAGCTAAGAATTAAAAACAGTATCTCCCCCAAAAGAAGTAAAAAATAAGTAATACATGCAACGCGCTGAGAACTGTCCCTAACACACAGTAAAGCCCCCCAAATAATTATGAGCTGCTATTTCCTTCCTCATGCCCACTTTATTTTTCCTCTACCCAGACAGCTCTAAGCATCTGGACGTATTGGATTATAAACCACAGATGAAATTTAGCTTGCTTAGTTGTTAAAAAGGCGGGCTTTGGGAAAAAACAAAACGTGAGTTTGAACTCCAGCTCTGCTTCTTATTTGGAGCTACTAAGCACTCTGGGCCTGAGTTTCTGCATTTGCAAAGTGGCGAGAAACCCGTGTAATTGCTGAGTTGTTGGGAAGATAATAGATAAAGTTAAACAGGCGGCTGCTGGACCCTGGGACACCGTCCCTCCTCAATACAAACTGGCTTTAGCCTGGAGGACGCAGGGACATCGAGAATGGGCATGGGCGGCTGCAGGCTGGACACAGGGGCTCTAGGGCCTGATAATCCCAGCATGGAGGGACGTGCCCGGCTCCTTAGGAGCTGCGGGGCCGAGGGCACGTCACTCCAGCTCCCCGAGCCTCGGCTTCCCCCCCTGTAAGCGACGCTACTAGTAGCACCTGCCCGTGGGCTTGCGTGGGCTTCGCCAGGTAGAGCGCCAAACCCTAAAGGCCAACCGCAGTCAATGGGACCTTCGGATTCCCACACCCCCAACGGCAAAGCCTGGGCCGTGAGGTCCCCAGGCTCCACAGGGGGTCCTCAGTCCCCGACGGGCGCCCGGAGCCCCCCAAGGGTCCCAGCCCGGCCGCCCGGGTGCCTGAGAAAACGCTCAGGGGGCCCGGCGCGGGCCGGCCTCGCCGCGCGGCCGCTCTCAGGACCGGGGGCCTCCGCCCCGGACCCCACACCGGGCTTCGGGGCTGGCACCCCCAGCATCCCGCAGCCAGCCCCCCGCGGCAGACCCGCGGCCGCCGCCCAAGCAGCCGCACCCCGAGCGCCCCGCTCACCGCCTTCTTCATGGTGGCCGCCATCTTGGGACTGGACTACGGCGCGAGGCGGGGAGGGCCGCGCGGGCGCGTCTGTCCCTGGTGCCGTCTCTCCTCCCCGGTGGCCCAGGAGTCGCTCCCAAAATACACCACCGTCTCCACTTTCCCTCCTATTGGACCTTTGAGCGATGATTCCTGACGGCGAAGGCTCAGAGAGGAAAAGTAACCTGGAAGGACTTGGTACAAGCCAGTTAAAGAGACAGGCCGCCCATGTGAGCCGACGTAAACAGGGGGGTGTGGTCAATGGCCGCAGGCCCCAGCAGGGGGCGCGCGCGGCTCGCTGCGCCGCGGGGCAAGGACCCGGGGGGCGGGAAGGGGTGAAGCTCAGCCCCCCAAATAACATTCATGGAGAAACTGAGCTACCTTAAAAAGAGCTAGGAGCTCACGGCGTGGGCGCACAGGGTGTGAGATTTACGCGTCCTGCTAATTCAGATGGTGTTAAGGAGCTATGATATTGATTAGTTTATTCAACAGTGTTATGGAACAATTACTGTGCTCTCTGACACAACTCGCAATTCCTAATTTTTTTTCTTTTTTGCTTCAGGACCCCTTTCCACCCTTAAAAATCATGAAGGACCCCAGAGAACTTCTGTTTATGTAGTTTAGATTTGTCCATATTTACTGCATTACACGTGAAAGCAATTTTTAAATGTAAGAACCCATTCCATTGTAATAAAAATACCGTTTTGGCTCGGCGCCAGTGGCTCAAGTGGCTAAGGCGCCAGCCACATACACCTAGGGTGGCGGGTTCGAATCCAGCCCTGGCCCGCCAAAACAACAATGACGGCTGCAACTAAAGAATAGCTGGGTGGG